AACATCCAAGGAATATGGGAAAATTCCATAAAGAAGGTGTTTGGGTGCCTCACAATCTCTCCAATGATTATTGTTTCCAACGTGTGAACATTGCTTCATCTCTTGTGGCGTGTAGTGAGCGTGAAACATTTTGAGACAGAATTGTTGCTGTTGATGAAAAATGGATTTTCTATGCGAATATTAAACACCAGAAACAATGGCTCAGTCCTAGACAAAATCCATTTTCGACCCCAAAACCTGGACTCCATATGCAGAAAGTGATGCTTTGCATTTGCTGCAACACCATCTTAATGGGAAAACGTATGCAAATGTGGAAGGTGTTAAAAAGGACACCGACATTTTTTTTTGCTTCAAAGCCAAGTGATTTCTTTAACCAGGGCATTAACAACCTGATTGTAAAACGGAAAAGCATCATCGATAATAATGGAGACTATTACATTTACTAAATGTTTTGTTTTGATATATAAGTTGTTTGTTGTTTTTTTTCATCTAAAAAAAAAGAGACAAATATTTTAATGTTTACTAGTCTTGAAGATGGCAATAAATCAACAGATTTAAACCTTCACCAGAGAGAACCTTGTGTTGGGTTCACAGTAAAAATCGTCTTTATTATTAGTATTCTTTTAGTGAAAACAGAAAATCAGAAACCTAATTATATATCAGTTATATATTTTACAATTTCCAAGTTTACAGAGGATTTATATTTCAGTATAAATGTGTTCAAAGAATCTTTTCATCAAGACAATATGTCAAGTAATTAATGTCCAAAGTTCTTCAGTTTCTTTCCTACTAAGAATTTAAATTCATGTGAACTTTCCATATGAATTTGAAATGTTACTTTGAGAAGTGAAACAGACACACAAATAATCATATAGGAATGACAGGAGAAGGAGATGGAGGTTAGCTTGATGTTTGACATTTGAGTTGAGCTCATTTGCAAGTGTCACATGGTTACTTTTGATGCATTTTATGAGATTTTGCTGTTTTGCACACTTATGATAAGACTCGTGAGGTTGTGATATTAAATTTTTAATTATAATATGTATTAATTAATTCTTCAGTTATATTTTGTGCTTGGAAGCATGCATAGAAATACAATAAGAAAGTAAAAAGAAAACAAATTCTTACCTCGTCATCTATCAAAGAATCAAATTTACTCCGTGTTTCCTTCCATGTCTTACAAAATACAACTCACACCTAAACAAACAAAGAATAATGACTGTCATGTTTGGGCAGATTTTTCCCAGTGATTCAGTAGTAAGTCTGAAGGTGAATATAATGCTAAAAGCAAGATTTCTATACCCATTATGGGCATAGCACAGATAGCCCATTGTGCTTAACAACTGACAAATTCCAGATGAACTAGCATGAAAATTGACACTGGTACACAATTTCAATACCCATTATGGGCATAACACAGATAGCCCATTGTGCTTAACAACTGACAAATTCCAGATGAACTAGCATGAAAATTGACACTGGTACACTATTTCAATACCCATTATGGGCATAGCACAGATAGCCCATTGTGCTTAACAACTGACAAATTCCAGGTGAACTAGCATGAAAATTGACACTGGTACACACTCAGTTCATTTAAACCTGTGATTCTGTTAGGTAAAAACTGTGTACTCATTCATAATACATTCAACATATATTTTAACTATATATCTGTTAAGTGTATTCTTCTTATAGACATCTCTGTGTGTCTAAACTTATAATCTTTGATTTATTCACAGATTCTCAAGCTTTAGCACATCATCTTTTGCTAGTGGCAGTAGTTCGGGACAGCCAAATGTCAAGAAAACTACCAAATCAACACGAGTTGTAAACGGGAAAAGAATAGAAACAGTAAAGTATGTGTTTCTGTTTGAAAACATTGTTCCAATATTTATACCAATGTTAAAAGATATTAGACATTAGAATGCATTAGAACTATATTTAAAATGGTAATTATTGAAATATTCTAAGATATATCCTTTGTTTGACATTAAACATATTTAATGAATATTTGAAGATAGTATCACATGTGCAGGGGAATAGCCAACACTACAGGGGGGGGGGGGGTCCAGAAATAAATTTTTTCTACACCTTAGCCAGAACTTTCCTCCTGGCCGTGTCCCTGATATGCGTCAAACTTGCAACTTAAACTAGTGGTTCTATAAGTGTAGTTCACAGGCTGGTCCAAAATGCAAGTCACTGACATACAGTGCCACAGTCGAGGCTACACAAGAGAACAGAACATGGGATAGGTGATCCGCAGACAAACAAATTTGAGAACCATTGCGTTAAACCTAATAAGTGCATACACATTTCTAAGGAGATATCTTGCTCTTTTTCCATTAGTTAACTTTGTTTTTTCCATTGGATCAGACAGTATC